GAGATAGGTGGTGTAAGATATAGGTGGTGTGAGTTGAGTGGTGTAAGATGAGAGGTGTAAGATAGGTGGTGTGAGTTCAGTGGTGTAAGATGAGTGGTGCAAGTTGAGTGGTGTGAGATGGGTGGTGTGAGTTGAGTGGTGTAAGATAGGTGGTGTGAGTTGTGTGGCGGCGGCGGCGGAGGCGGCGGAGGAGACGGAGCACAGCACGGAGCACGGCGGAGCGGCGGGCGCAGAGCGAAAAACATGTGATGTGAGGAAAAACAATAGTAGCATATAGTAGCAATGGCCTCCAACCTACTCATGAGAGTCATTAGACTCATTGGACGTTGGGGGATCAATCGGGTGAGGATGCTCAAGATGCCTTCGCCGGATCCGGACCAAGCAGTTGTTCTATGGCTCCCGCAGATACCATCCTACTTGTGCTGCCAGTGTCTTGATGTCATGAGGCACTCTGTGAAGGGGTTGTACTGCGTGGGATTTCTTGGTTGAATGGTGTTTCTGAGCAGCGGTGGGTCTAGTGGTCCAACTTCTGATTTTGTTTTTCAAAGTAAGTTTCGGACCGAACACATCAATATTGAGGTCCATCCAAGGATGATTGGGCACCTCACCAGCGAAATGATTTGGTTGCTAGGTGACCTGGATGCATTGAGGCTTCTTTGAACCCAAAGAAAGCAACCCAAAGTTATGGCTGGTATTGAAGCATGCTGTCAATGAGAGGGTGCTTTCGAAAAGAGACACTTTGCAGCGAATGCACTTTTGTCCTTGATTTGCGGTACTGCGTTGCTATCTGCATACGCTGAGGTGCCTTGTCGTGGTTTCATGGTCCCACTGGCAAGAAACTGCACCTCGGTGAAAGACGAAAAAAGTGAAGCGTGCGGATGTGTCTGAGTGTTTTTTGGCATGCTTTTGCACACTTTTAGCACGGGCAAGGTGAGATTGTTGCGTTGCATAGCATGCCTAGGACTCAGGCCAATGTAGCTGGCGCATGCGCTGTTTCCACCACGTTTTCACATGTTTCATCCGTCGTCGGTTTCCGGGATTCAGAACTTCACAACATTATAGGATCCCACGGATAGATGGCGCAAGTAAACACATATGAAAACCAACTCTCACACAGCCAGAGCAACTCAACCCTTTTCGCTTGCAGGAAGAATCTACAAGTATTTGTGTATGTTTGTGTATGTATTTGTGTATGTAGGAAATGAATGGCGGCGCGCCAGGAGACAGGTGCAAAGGAGGGGAAGAGCGTGAAGGGCAATGAAAGGAAAAGAGAAGGAGAGGACAGGAGAGGAAAGGCTATTGGTCCCATTCTTGTTCACCAGCTTGAATGAACGGTATGGCGTTGTCCAATCTGCCCATATGGCCTGGCACCTCAAGATGCATCACCGGACATAAACTATCAAATACAAACCATGAAAGAAAGTGCAAAAAAAAATCGCTACAAATACATCATTGAAAGGCGCAGGCTGAGGATGGGTGAGAAAGGGAAGAGAAAAGGGAAACGCATGAGAGGAAGGGAAGAACAAACAAGGACGTAAAGGAGAAGAAAGGAGATTCCACTAGAGGAAGGACGGCAAAAGGAAGGAACAGCGCATTGGACAGTGAAATGGCGGAATACACAAATGGCGCATCCGGGCAAGGCCCATGATGTATGAGGAAGACAGTTTTTGCTGGTAAATGTCAGCGTTTGAGGTTTCTTGTGTGTTTGAGTTTTTCCCGAGTGGGTAGCGAAGGGTTCTCGTTTAACTCTTGGGGGTCTGGGGGTAGAGCTTTGTTCGCGACCCGTTGCTTCTATGTTCGCAGCCGTCCGCAACCGTCCGCAACCGTCCGCAACCGTTCGCGACCGTTCGCAACCGTTCGCAACCGTCCGCAACCGTCCGCAGTAGAGCGCTAAGGCGCTGCCATTGGGGGAAGCTTTTGCAAGTGACTTTTCATGGATGTGTCACGTGTCAGTTTGCGCCGCTATTCCATTGTGATTTGCGTGAAAAAGACATGTCGCGCAAGCAACGTGACGCGTTTCGCTGCACAGGCGCAGCGTTTGGTGAGATCTGCAGATTGCTGCGCCAGTTCCATTGGGATTAGCGTTTGGAGAGTCGTGTTTTTGGGGTGTTGGATGTGGCCGTGCCATTGGGATTTGCGTTTCAGGGTGTGGCATCGAAGCTCTGTTTTCGTGACAAGTCTCAGCTGAAATGCCGATTTTGGTGGATGGGAGTGTGCCCAGAACGGGTCGAAATCATTCCAAACGTGTGGTGTGGTGCAAATTTTTGTTGAAGCTCACATGAGATGACATTGTTACTTTTCGTGGCAGGCGCAGGACTTTGTGCGGGTTTTGAGGTGTGGAAGTGGGATTTTCGTGGCAGGCGCAGGGAATCGTGAGGTTGCGATGTGTGACGGAGGTGACATTTCGTGGCAGGCGCAGTACTTTGTGCGCGTTAGACCTCGTCTTGGGGACTTGACATGTGACTTTTGGAGGAAGTCTCGTACGAAACGCTTGTTTTGGAGACTTGACGTGTGACTTTTGGAGGAAGTCTCGTACGAAACGCTCGTTTTTGAGACTTGACGCGTGACTTTTGGAGGAAGTCTCGTACGAAACGCTCGTCTTGCAGTCTCGCAGCGTGACTTTTGGCCTATAGGAGTGTCCACGTTCTCTCCAACGCGCGCGTCCTCCAGTCAAACGCACGCGCTCCGGACTTTTGACCCACGGGATTCCACGTGTGTAAGGTGTGTGTGCCCCCTGCGAGAGATGACACACATCCGGCCACCACGACTTGCCAAGGATGCGGCCCACATCGACACACATCCCACCGTGGCATTCTTCAGTGGCGGCAAACCTTGCATATCACACATCCGACTGAATGGAATCCGAATTTGAATGTAAAATCTGTCTTGAACTCTGAGACTATGTATGAGGAGTCTTGTATGATGAGGGGTGTATGACAAGTGATGAATGATGAGTGGTGTATGTTGAGTGGTGTATGATGAGTGGTGTATGCTGACTGGTGTATGATGAGTGGTGTCTTGACCAGCAGTTGAATGTCCTGTCCTGCATAACTGCAACCAAATACTATCAGTATGAACTGAACGCGCACGCCGCGAGAGATGACTCAGCAGCGAGAGATGACTCAGTCGCGAGAGATGACTCAGCCGCGAGAGATGGCTATAGCGAGAGCTGACTCAGCAGCGAGAGATGAATGAGCAGCGAAAGATGACTCCTCCGCGTACTACACTGTTCGCCAGTACAACTCCAGTTGTACTACGAAGTCGCCAGTCCTCAGCTTCTAGCTGCACAGATTGCTCCGCGTGCTGAAGTTGTACTGCAAAGTCGCCAGTTCTCATCGCCCAGCTTGCCAGATACTCCGCGTGCTAAAGTTGTACTACAAAGTCGCCAGTTCTCAGCTTCCAGCTCTACAGATTGCTCCGCGTACTAA